TTTCCTGCTATTTCCTCCAAGATGGCAGATTTGCTTTGTTTAACTGGGCCCCGCGAGATGGCACTACCTGTCTAGTTTAAACTAAAGAGGCTTTAGTTTAACCAAGCTAAAATTAAATTTTCGAACCACTTGCCCCATTCCCCATAGTAGCATCTGGCGGTTCCTTTTTTTCCATGAATGAAACTGAAATGAACAAGCAGCATTTTATTACCTCCCTTGATGCATGGAAGGTTCTTTATTTAGTGCAGCTAGTTCGATTACTAGGGATATATTGTAGGCGGTACCTCTCGCGTCATCAGGATTATTTTGCGAATGTCCTACGCATGCCGTATGCATTCTTGTGCATTCACTTTAATTTCCTATTAAGTTGGGCACTGCTGTTGATAATATTGTTGTTTTAGACGTCGTACATTGAGCCTTCATTCTGGCATAAATTGTTATTTGACTTTAGTGTCCCTTTAGTGCAGTACTGAAAACTGAGGTTAAGAAAGCTAAGGGCACGTTTTTTGCTACTGCTTTAGTCAACTTCAAGGAAGCACTAGTGAAATTTCGGAGCTATTTAGCCGACAGCAAATTCAGTAGTATTTGTTTAATGATTGATGGTACACCAGTCTCGAAGTCTAAACAGTAGCTGATGAGTTTAACTGATACGTACAATTTGTGTGTGCCTTGGAAGTTACTAATGTCGTTACTGAGCATGAAGGGATTATTTCTTTTGTGCTGAATATTGTTGTGCACCAAGAAGGTATTTCTAATTTGCTTCTTGATCTCTACACTAAAAAAATCACAGCATGTACATAGTGAATGATGATAAGAGGGCGAGGCTTCAGAGGGTTTTATTGGCAAACCAAGAATCCTCTGTCCTTCCATCTGTCTGCCCGTCCATCCGCACCTGCTGAGTGAGTCATAGAACGAGGTGGTCACATAGAAGGGGTTGTTGCGAAGCGCACCTCTGACGACGTTACGAAGGGCGCCTCGAAATCTCACCTGCTGCAACCACTGTTTACGAAAGACGGCGACGCCAACACGGTCCCGAAGGCGCCACTGCTTCGAACTCCGCCAGGAAGGTCACCAGCCGTTTGGTAGCGTAGGTTTCTCAGCTCGCGACTGCTTCTGCGGAGAGCTGATAGACGAGCGGACGAGACCACGGTGAGTTAAACAAGGTTTATGTACAGCATATATACAGAGGCATTACAAATCCGGCACTGGGGCCGACAGAGACTCGAAGAGTCGAGCTCTTCTCTCTAACACATAGGTCTGCTTTGAAATGGGTCTGCTAACACATAGCTCAACTCTTTATCACATAGCTCTCTGCTCTGACACACAGCTCAAACTCTCTATCACATAGCTCTCTTGTCTGACACACATGTCTGCTCTCACATAGGACTGCTACTAACACATAGCTCAACTCTCTATCACATAGCTCTCTTCTCTGACACACAGCTCAACTCTCTATCACATAGCTCTCTTCTCAGACACACATGTCTGCTCTCCAACAGGTCTGCTCTCTGACACACAGCTCAACTGCGACACACATGTCTGCTCTCACATAGGACTGCTCTCTGACACACAGCTCAACTGCGACACACATGTCTGCTCTCCAACACGTCTGCTGCTCGCGACGCGCCGCAGGGCTTCTTTTATATGCACCGGGTGGATTCTTTGAATAACAAAATGTCCAACCAGAAGCGCCGCTGGTCATGAGGTCAGACTCCTCCAATGGGGTCGCCGCTGGGCCACGTTATTCTTTCTCATCGAATCTGGAGAGGCTGAGCTGCAGGTGGCTGCACCCAAGGACAAGTGACGTCGCCAGGCATTGCGTCAGACCCGCCAGACAGGAACGTGCCGGTTGTTTACTCGACGGGCTCGCGGGCTGAGATGACTCACTGCACGTGCGCGCCAGAAAGGCGCCGTCGCGTGTTTACGCCGTTGAGTTTGTTCGCGTCAGGCGGGCTCGCGGGCTGGCCTTGACACAGATTTCCTTTTTCCGAGGCATGGACGTTCGCTGTGGACTCGCAGGCATAACAGGGTGTGCAGACCCGCGGCTTTAGGAGCTTTGCCCCTAAAGAACTGTTGCCCCCGATAACATCTCAATAGTCATTTTGCCACATTATGCTTTTGGAAGTAAATTTTTGCTATCCAGTTCCCAGCATGGGTTTCGGTGTGGTTTGTCAACAGTGACACAGTTGCTTACACTGTACGTCATGATTTTTGACACTGATTAAGAACAAAGTTCAGATATATGCCATATTTTTTTGGCTACTCAAAGGCTTTCAACAGAGTGCCTTGTAATAACATATTGCATAAACTATATGCCATTGGAATAAATAGCCAACTGATTGACTTCATCCGGGCATATCTGCAAGATTGATATCAATATGTCCAGGATTGATAACTACTGCTCAGATACCTTTGAGGTAACTTCAGTGGTATTACAAAAGTTAGTTTCGGGCCTGATTTTATTCCTCATCGATACAAATGGTATTGTAATGTAACACCTAGCAATGCCAAGATAAAGCTTTGTGCAGACGACTGTGTCCTTTACATCATAAGGTAAATCTCAATCTGATCAGAACTCACTCCAGAAAGCCATCATGGAAGTTTCGGACTGGTGCGAGAAATGGAGCATATTCTAAACGCTGACAAGTGCTTAATCCTCAGCATATGCAGGAACGATATCATTTGGCACCATTCTTATTCTGTGGATGGCATTACTGGCTGTTAAATATACTGCAGTTACCATTAGACAAAACCTGAGCTCGGGTTTTTGCATCAATACAGTGTGTATTAATGCTTTTGAATTTCCTTGGTTTCTTCGACGCAAGCTTGCACAAGCCCCAACAGGCGTCAAACTAGCAGCATGTAAAGCTCTCGTACGGCCATGCCTTGAATATGCCTCATGGCAATGGCATCCTTGGAGACAAAAAGTGTTAAACTTGAGACGATTCGAAGATCCGTGGTCCGATTTAGCTGCAGCAACTACAAATGCACCGATAGTGTTACTGATATGATGAATTGTATTGCTTGCGATACACATAAAGCCTGACTTGCCAAAAGTAGATTCAAATACTTGCTCTTGCTATACAACGATTCAATGCGAAATAACAATCATAATTAAATTACCCATAACACACTGAAGTGCATGTTGGATAACGGGAACGCGATACAGGAATACCGATTTCACACAATACATTTAAGTATATTTTTTTTCTGAAGACCATAAGTGCCTGGAAGAAACTACCAAAGGAAGTTGTTGATAGTCCCAGTGTGGAAGTGTTTATTACAAAGTTAAGGAATATATTTGAGATGAGCTGCACTGTGCCACGACAGCGAAGTGACAGATATCGGTACGTCCCACAGCCATAGTGCAAATGCACTGTGGCTGTGGTACCTTAGCCACCAGCGAGTACCTTAGCCACTAGACCACCGCAGCGGGGCTGACAACGAATGAGCACAAGTATACGGGTTCATTATTTGAGCAGCTGTTGATTTTTATTGAGTACATAATTAAACCTAGTTGCAAGCCTGACTGCAGACTGACATGAACGCAGTGTCACTAGAATAACCTGATGACGAGGGCATGTATCTGCTGCTCACAAAATGTTTCACGAATGGCTTGAATGCGTGTTGACTCGGCTGCGGAGTTTGTTCATCCTTTACTTTTGGCATGTATATAGTTGAAACGACGAAACGGAATCATAGCCTTTTTCCTGTTCATGACAGTGCATATAGCCAGTTATAAACTTTGGGGGCCATTGCTTCCAATGCTGTCAGTGAAATACATGTGATGGACTCACTAATGCTTTGAGAAATAGTTGAACAGGGATTGTCGCTGGAACCAACGTTTTGAAAAGTGAACATTTATTTCTCAAGACAATGCACTGGTGAAAATAAAACTAGTCGTAACATATTTTTCAGCGGAATTCGCTGCTCAACGGTTTCTCTTCGCTTCTGGCCTCTGTCTTTACATGAACATCTGTCCTGTTTGGGGCTCCAGATCTGAAAGAAAATGTCAAAACAAAGCTGTCATAAGAAGACGCGATTCAGTCAAGTACGACGTTGCCACACCACTCGGGAATGTTAACTTTCGCATGGGCACGGATATATTCTTAAATCATTGTTTGCTCACTTTGTGCATTTCTTCAGTTGTGAAGTAGAGCTGCTGTTGCAGATTGACTCTTTATACTACGTGCATGTCTCCGTTTTAGTACGACACGTGTGATACAGAAACAAAAGACTAACATCTAAAACAATGTTAACCGATTTTAACGAATGGCAGCGTTGCCCAAGCGGCCGGAGGACGTGCAAGATAGCGCGAACACATTCCGCTTGCATGCGAAGAGAAAAAGGACAGCTTTCGCGGTAACCCACGGTTCACGCCCTTTCCCTCTATTTGCTGATCTCACTAGTGTCGTCATGAAAGCAGTTTTTCTTTGTGAATTATTTCTAGTAGAATACACGGCAAGGGGAGGGGGGGGGGGGGCTGCCAGTGGTGGAAGCGGCGCAGCCGCATCGAATCGCCTTGCGAGATCGCGTACCATGGAAGGTATAGGAAGTTTCCGCACCCTGGTGGTGGAACTCCTTTCCGCGTACCATAGCAGACAATAGAGAGCACTAGTTGGCCGGGTTTAGGAGGGAGCGGAGCGCGACCCGAAAAGAAATATCGGGTCGTGCTCTGATGCCCTCTTCGTTCGCTAACCCGCCCAGCTAAAACTCTCTAATAAGGAATCAACTTCTTTTCAGTCAGCTCTACAACGTTGCCATACTAGCTGAATTCCGTTTTATACAATTTGTTTTAATCATGTCTACCGTAGTTTACATATTTGCTTTGTTTCCACTTGTTCTTGTATTTCATAATTGTGCGAATGTACTGACCCCGTTTTAGAACCCTTAAGGTAAAAAAAAAAATGAAAACTGAAATACTGATTTCGCTAAGGATCGATGTGCTCGAGCTAGCTACAGCGAGCGAGCAATAATACAGCGACAGGAGCGAGACAGCGTGGCTCATCACGAAAGAATTTATTTAAACACAGGCGTGGTCCAGGGAGTCTTGAGGCTCTTCCGGGATGCTGGAAGCAGTGTCCGCAGCGATGAAGGCCGTGCACGCGACGGAGAAGCGCAAGGCAACAGTAAAAGGTCCGGGAAGGCAGCACAAAATGGTACAGCCACGAACACCGCCGGCGGCTCCCGTAGATGATCTGGTAGACCTGCGGTGACAGAACGAAGATTTTCAACCGACACAAGCGACAGCCAACTAGCTGGGACGACAGAGGAAATTCAGACGGGCATCACGGTAAAGACATGTACACACAAGTTCGACAGGTATATAATGTGGCCTTTGTAAGCACTTTCGAATCGTATTTGTTTTGTAGGAAAGAAGCTTACGCCGAAATTCCCGCCATTCCGAAGACTAGCGACGAATTCATGTGGCAGGAAGGCCAGGACCGAGAAAGGTCTGCGCAGCCATGTCCGAAACGGGTTGGTCGGATGGCGCGTCTACACCGAGCGTTTGGAGACCAGGAAGTCGTAGCGAACCACCTCGGCAAGGCTGTGCGCCGAGGAAAATCCGTCCGAGCAGGAGTGGAAGGGGTCAGTCATCTGCAATTGCAGAAAAATATAGATCGTTAATGCACTCGCAAGCCAAAGTGCGATTTACTCACCCGAAAAGCCACGTGAGAACACGCGGCGCGGGAAACGTTGTGGAAAGAACAGCGACTCGGAAAAAACGGAGCTGACGAAAGGTGCAGTGAAAGAGCGCACATAAGAGTGCTGCCGCATTCACGGCTGCTATGTCAGCTTGACTGCGCATGTGCCGGAGCCTGTTCCACATTGAGTCCTGTTCTCGGCACGGTTTGTCTGGGCGCAGTGTCAAGATGGATGGTGAGAGTCGCACACATGTGTGCCAAGACCCACGTGCGGGGAGTCTGAAAAAAAGTGAAAAAGAAAAACAATTAGGCGGAAACGTAGCGGTGAAGACATTGTGAGCTTACCTGGGGAGGCAGCGGTTTAGCGGAAAATCGAAGGCGAGGCGCGCTCGTTGAAAACACGCGAAAAGGCGTCCAAGAAATGCGAAAAAAAAAAAGCAGAGGCTGCAAGGAGGGAAAAACGTTAGGCGAGGACACCACAGCATCCCTGAATTCCGAACGCCGAATTGCGCCGGGCAAGCACTTATCGTTCAAGAGCACCTCAGGCGCGCGGGCATTCCTTGACACGATAACGTGCACCGTTTGCAGTGGGCTTTTCGAAACGAGCACTGCTCGTGACGCAAACGCAGGAGGGGGGGGGCAAAACCTGAAGCTAATGTTGGGTGGACCTGAAGCTGATGTGCAGAGGCACCCCTTGCGCTTCCGTCACTGACAGGACCCGGCATGACGACGAAGGTCCAGGAAACCTCCAACTACGCGTTGCAATAGTGCACGCAATTCCGTATTAACTGCAAAACGCCAACCAGGCGCATGGTTTCCTGAACAACAATCGCCCTCGCTAGCAATGATTCCGACCTTTCGTTGGCGCAACACGCTGTCCCCAGCCAGGTCCTCGGCGACGTGGAAGCGGTCGTGTCCAGCTGTCCTCGACGAACAACGAGAGGGTCGAGAACATAGTTCGGCGTGAAGCACCCGTCTGTATCCAGCACGGGTGTCACGGCCACACAGCAAAGAGGGGCGGCAACGAGTGATTCCTCAGGTCTGCTGCGTCCGCGTTTATAAAGACCAAGTTAGCCATCGCGCGCAGGTGCAGTTGGCGCCGCTCGTTCTTGTCATCTTTAGATCTTCATTCCCGATAAACAGAGGCGGCGCTTGCGCGCAGACACGAACCGCAAGGGTTCGCTACTGCTCGTTCTTTCTTTTTTTTTTTTTTGCCTAGCTGGCTTTTTGAAGGGCTCGTTTTTGCGTGTAGGCAGGCCTCTCGTTTCTGAAGAATTGCCCATACTAGCTCCCAGGTGATTGATTGATATGTGGGGTTTAACGTCCCAAAACCACCATATGATTATGAGAGACGCCGTAGTGGAGGGCTCCGGAAATTTTGACCACCTGGGGTTCTTTAACGTGCACCCAAATCTGAGCACACGGGCCTACATTTCCGCCTCCATCGGAAATGCAGCCGCCGCAGCCGGGATTTGAACCCGCGACCTGCGGGTCAGCAGCCGAGTACCTTAGCCACTAGACCACCGCGGCGGGCTAGCTCCCAGGTGAATTCGCAGAGTAATAATAATAAAGAAAAATACTTTCTCGAGATTTTTCATCTATTCATTTTGATTAAAATTGATCTGTAGCCTATAGCTGATAAGATTAAATTTAATCTGCGGCGCTGTTGTTCTTTTTTTCTAGATCACAATAAAATGACCGGGACCAAGCGTTGCTACAGGCATACAGGTGTGCTTTAAATCGGCGCGGTCGCCCAGTCTCTGAGGAAATATTCCTAAAATCTATCCATCCGACGTACGCAAACGCATCTTCGCGTATGCGCGACAGAAATTGGTTTTTAAATGCGAAGCACTTCTTAGCGAAGTGCAGGAAATTTGAGCGTTTAGATCTATCTATCTATCTATCTATCTATCTATCTATCTATCTATCTATCTATCTATCTATCTATCTATCTATCTTATCTATCTATCTATCTATCTATCTATCTATCTATCTATCTATCTATCTATCTATCTATCTATCTATCTATCTATCTATCTATCTATCTATCTATCTATCTATCTATCTATCTATCTATCTATCTATCTATCCATCCATCCATCCATCCATCCATCCATCTATCTATCTATCTATCTATCTATCTATCTATCTATCTATCTATCTATCTATCTATCTATCTATCTATCTATCTATCTATCTATCTATCTATCTATCTATCTATCTATCTATCTATCTATCTATCTATCTATCTATCTATCTATCTATCTATCTATCTATCTACTATCTATCTATCTATCTATCTATCTATCTATCTATCTATCTATATATATATATATCTATCTATCTGTCCGTCCGTCCGTCCGTCCGTCCGTCCGTCCGTCCGTTCATGAAATGGCTCAACAAACTTATGCCCCCCCCCCCCCCTTGTGCCAGTGTGCTCAGATTTGGGATTTGGGTGCACGTTAAAGAACCCCAGGTGGTCGAAATTTCCGGAGCCCTCCACTACGGCGTCTCTCATTATCATATGGTGGTTTTGGGACGTTACACCCCTCATATCTATCATCAATCACCCCTTTTTTCGATTTTTTTCGCCATCACATATAGCGCCCAAAATGGCAGTCGACCACATCTGCCTTGCATGCGGTGTCTCTCATAATCATATGGTGGTTTTGGGACGTCAAACCCCACACATAAATAAGAGAAGCTGAAACGTGCCCAGAAGCACTGCGGTAACCCAGCCTCGCTCGATTTAATTCAAATTATGCTAATCTTTTTGTTTCATTACTTTCGTTTTCCTCTCTCTCTTTTGTACAGTGCCTCCTATCATTTTCACTTGTCCCTTGTTTTCTAGCACAACAGAACAGCGGCTAATTTAAGAACTGACCAACCTCTCGTTTTTTTTTCAGCTTCGCTTCCAACTTTGCCTCGAGCTGAAACAGGTTAACTTTGTAGTTTTCACTGCCAGCCAGCAGGATTGTTGTTGTTGTTGTTGTTCTCCTATTGTTAGTGGCGCAGGATACTGTCTTGTTTACTCAGAAAAAGAAATACCCTAAAAGTACCATTTATTCGAACCGCATTGTATTGCACTGCTTCAAATATTCTGCCCTAGGAGCCTCCTCATTATATCATTCTTAAATGCACCGCTATAAAAAATATCTAATGGAAATAGGGTGGTTTCGACCACAAGTTTGTAAATTACCATCATTAACTTATCATCATTGTAAAATTTCTCGACAGCCGCATAATTTAAGGGTCCATTCAAACTTCTTTTTTTTTTTGAATATCAACAGAATGGGTGGGAGCCATAAGTGCAGGTCGTCATCGTAATCGTCATCATTACAGTATGCCGAGTGAAGAAGAAGAATGTCCGTGTCGCCGCTTTCGCTGCTTCCTTCTACAGAAAACCTCGGAGACCGCGAATGCCCATGCCCAGGCGAAACGGCCTGTTCGTTCCAGTGCCCGGCTCGCGCTCAGCTTCCGGCTGCGTCGGGGCGAGTGCTGCGCGCGATCCGATGGCCACGGTGCATCGCCGTCGCATCGACGTGCTTGCTGGCCGTGCAGTTCACTCTGCTCGTCGGCTTCTTCCTCCTGCCCAGGGCCAAGCCTCCGACGTCGCAGCCGCCTCCCAGCGACGAGCGCGCTCACCAGTCCCACAGCTGCCACCAGCCGGAGGAGAAGAAGAACCGTCTCAGGTAAAGTGAGCTTTCTAGCTCACTTTATCTCAGGTACGCGTCGCGGATTAACCAAGGTTATCGAGAGAAGTACTAAATGCACCGTATTTAGGTTATCGGGCGAAGTGCAGTCGGGCGCGGTGTGAAGGTTATCGCGCAAGCATTCACCAAGAACTACAACAGCGCCACCTCTCGGAATACCCTTTATAAGTGAAGATGGTGCCACACAAGCTTCACTCATCTTTTTTTTTTCTTTTTTGATGCTCCTTCAGTTGCGATCACTCTCGTCTTAGGAGGCTGATTAAAACGATGCAGTTCCAAGCACCAGCTTTAATTAGCACATCTTTCACAGCAATTTTGTAATTACCTGCAGAGCCCACCAAGAATACACTTGATTGTTACGAATAGAAGGCTCAAAATAGAGAGAAAAGGCGTAGAGTTCGTTGTAGGGCGATTGTTGTAGCATGGAACAGCCGACGAGGGAGAGAATGCGCAATCTTGGTTTTCACAGTCTCAAAACGTGCCGCTATAGGCCCCTGGGACGTTAGGCTGACCACGGCAGTAGAAAATCTGGAGGCGACCCTAATAATACTTGTCTTAGGCGTCTGGAAGTAGCACGTACACATTTGGGTACCTTGGTGTACTGCTTGTGCTGATTTTGTGTTTCCCATACTAGTGAAGTGGTTCTCACAGTTCTCGTAGCAAGAAGCGTGTAGTTAAGACCTGCTCCGCCAGGTACCGCAGAAATCTTACCTGCTCCTGAGAAAATCGCCTGCTCTTTCATTGAACTTATTCAATTAATGTTTCAATAATTATTTTGCCCGTTCATTAGCCATGACCTTAACTACACATATGCTAATATATATGTTATATATCCGATATAACTTTCAACTTGGTACAGAACCAAATATGTTGTGTAAGCATTCATTGGACATCATCTTGTTCATCTGTAAATAAGCAACATCAGTCTTGGCGTCGTCCGTCTTTGTCGTCGGTGCCATCTTGCTGTTCCTGGATTGAAGCCTCGGCTGAACCGTGTTATTTCAAATGGTGGAAGTTCTTCCCGATTCACTCGACCTCTCTTCATCCAAAGACATTGGAGCTCCGCTCAGGGCGCCGCTTACGCCAGCAGACCACCATGTCGCAAGATAAAGCGACAGTGTTAAGTCATGTCGTCCAACCAGATTTAATATTTCAAACACATTTTCTAAACAGTCGGAAAACGGGAAGTAGTTGTTCTGTCGAGAGGGCTTGCACGAGGAAAAGCCGTGTCAATCGTCACTCGCGCCTCTAGAAAATTACGCAAATGCTGTCGGTGTGCAAAGTTCTACTAGTTGAACTGTCTGAATGTTACACACCGTGGTGGCCTAATCATATAGTTAGTTGCCGAACTGGGGCGAGAAAATTGACAGTTAATGAACAACCATAGTGGCTCCGTTCAAATCTACCTTCGGGGACGCCAAGAAATCTGCTAGTGGCAATCTGGAAGCTCAAAAATTTAAAGTGAAGAGAGCCACCATTAAAAAAAAAGTGTTCTTTTCTACACAATGAAAGGGTAACATTAGGATTCTGCGTTGTGCGTAGTACTTCTGAGCACTAAATTTGTTTAGCGATCGCGGTGCCACGTGAGTAATCTATAGTAAGATAATCCATAGTAAGCTATGAATTATCTTATCGGTGATGGTGTTAAAGCGAAAACATGCGCTGCCGCTGATCGACGGGAGAAGCTGACCGCATATTCGCAGTTAGTTTTCATCCGAATGTTGGCGCGGTCCTCGGCGTTCCGTTTTCGTTCTAGCATTTTTTATTCGCTTCTGTAAGCGCTGCAGTTGTTGTAGGTGTAGTAGTTGTACTGCTGTAAGGCGCCGAAGGAACTGCCATACCGGCGAAGGTATCGATTCCTGCAAGTTACACAGCGATGACAGGTAGATTCTTTTTGCCAATACGCGCACATTTGCTATTTTTTGTCGGTGATTTTGCTTTGAGACATTGTTACCGCTGTCAGTGTTGTGTATTTGTGTACTACCTTCATTTGCACTGATCCTGCACATGTTCGAATGCTCGCCCTTCACTCGACTTTCGCTCTATCGCGATTTCCTTGCGAAAAACCCTACCTCCTTGTGTGCTCAGCTTGATCGCACAATGTCGTAATGCAATAAAAAACGGGGGGTGTTAAGCCTTGCTCGGGGAAAGCAAGAGCTGTAATTTGATACTTTCACTGAAGCACCTCATATGCTGGTTTTCACGACTGTTTTGTAACGATAGTTCCTACAAACCAGACATGCTTTTCTGTTCCTTTTGCCTCTGAAAACGAAGTGCCGTTTGCGAACTCTTGATAATGGTTCTAACACGATAGATTTCCTTTTTTTATTGAAACCTAATTGATAGTTTGCTACCTATAAATAATATTGTTCCCCGTACTCACTCGTGAATTATTTTTATCGGTGCCAGCTGCCAATGAATGACTTTCGGTTCCACGTAATCTTTGTACACTGTCGTCCTTTATGAAAGGGAACACGCGAACACGTGGCTTGCGCTTTGCGGCGGCTGCCTACAGCACCATCAACCAACAGCAAAAGAAAACACGTTTGCTTGCAACCGTCATCTGTTGCCAGAAAAAAATAAATAAACGAGTTATGGCCGATAGACAAGCGCTGCTAGAATGCACTCCATCTCGGCTCACTTCTGTAGTGCGTGGTCCACTGCCAACATATCAAACGTTGTGTGCGACCACGGCGCAGGCTGCAGTAATTGCCCGATATTGCTCGCCGCGCGAGCGGGGAGGGAACGTAATCTAGCAGCGCTTGTCTACCTGCCGTGACTCGTTATCTTGCTTGGCCATAGATGACGCCGAAAGCGAACGTGCTTTCTTCACTTGCCGGTTGATGGTGCTGTAGGCAGCCGCCGCAGAGCGCAGGCCACGCGTTCGCGTGTTCCCTTTCACATAGAACGACAGTGTATGCGCACAAGTACTGCGTTCCGAAGGGCGCTTTGGTGTGCTGCCGGGCGTATCGACGCGCTTTAAACAAGCGGGCGAAAGATAACGAGACACCCGTAGCCTTGCACGAGCCCCGGCCTTTTTCGTACACTTCTGTTTAAAAAAGATAGCCGTAGAATAAAGAATCAGCCGGTGCAAGTGCGTAGGCGCATACACACCCGGTACGAAGTGATAAGTGCGGTTATTAGTTTTTTTCCTTGCCTAAAAAGCAAAAAAACAACAACAACAAATTGTTTCCCGCTTTCTGTTTACGCATGCAGCGCCATCTCTTAGGTGCCCTCGGCAGTTCCATGCGCTACGGCTGCTTATCTTGAGTACTGTCGATATGGTTACATCCCCTTCTCTAAATTTGATCTTTATTCTATGAGTGGGCTACGTAGGGTTCCTCGATGGGAGGCGCGCACACATCGAGGCACCATAAGACTACGGGAAGCTGGCGCTAAACGGCCGCGCGTGTCAAGAATCTCACGAATTCGTGTTTTCGGGGAATTTTGATTGCACTGGTGCTTCTCGCAGGCTTTCGTTGATTAGAGGGGGGGGGGGATGCAAATAACGCGAACATGGCGGCGTGCTTTTTTTTTTACCGGGGCTCTGATCGTCAATAAAAGATGGTAGATTTTGTTTAGTTGTATCACGTATGATGACTGTTTTTAATCATTCATGCAGGCTGCACAGCTTAAAAATATAATTGCAAAACAGCATAGAAGGTAGATACAGCATGGTCGCGTTTTTTTTTTTTTTTACGCTATTCCGCGGGCCTGCCATCTGTTGTCAGGCCGAGCTGCTGGTTCGGTGCTTCCATTCGAGTTTAACAGTATTCGTGTTTTCATTTTATGTTTCGGGCAACTGCAACCTCATAATTTGCATGCCTCACTGTCGTGTTGTTGTGTACCACTCTGCATATCAAACGCAAGGAAATCAGATTGTCTTTCTTTCTTTCTATTTTTCATTAGTGACAAAGAAAAAAAGGAAGAACTCACATGTTCTTTTGAGACGACTGAGAGGCGATAACCATCTTATTCCTTACCTTTCCATTCATTGTATTGAACGTTCATCTTTTAACTGAGTAAGGGCGCGCACACAGACACGGACACCATATAACAAGAAAATGCACACAACATAAGTGCCACTCGCAACTAAAGTTCATTCGAAAGAAAGATTGGTACATATGTATCACTTCTGTCACATGACCTGGCAGGTGAAACAGTTAAAATACTCAGTTAAAAGATGAACTAATACCAAATAGCCCAATTATCCGTGCTATTGAACGTTCCTTGCTTCCCTCCGAGGTATTTCTGCGCTAACGTTCTTCTTCCAACTGCCTCAAGGATTGTAGACATTGCTTACTCTCTGCCCCTCAGTTGGTTTGGCACTGCCTCCTTGATCGGCCCATTTTGACCCTGCGAATATATAACATGATGACGTCACATTATCTGAACTTCCAATACGTCACAAAATTTTACGATCTGTGACGTCGTACGTTGACGTCTTCACTGAATGATGATTGCTTGCATCACTCGTATTGACGGATCCAATACGAGACGACGCGGCCGATCATTTTTTTTTTTGCTTTTGATGAGGAATCTGAGGCCTTCGCCTAAATACACTACAGCTGTCGTTTCATGACATTGCAGCTGCCTTAGGGGTTTGGGGGAGGGAGTTCGCAGTAATCAGTTGGGATGATTGGTCTCCTAATAGATCTTCGAACTACACTCTAATATGTAGCTCTCATCTAGTACCCGAGTGTATTATAGGTTATTTTTACAAATGGCGGCTCAAGACTACCCTTCCCGTTTAGAAACATGGCAATTAAACTAAACGCGACTGCGCTGCGTCTGAACTGTCAACGAATGAGTCTATCTGTAGCTACGCTGCATGCCTCGCGATCACTGCCCCTTGCAACGCTAAACGAGTTATCGTGCTTATAATGCTTAGCAGGATGCCATTAAGCCTCAACTTTGCTCAATATGGCCAGAGGGAATAAAAAAGAAACAGAGCGGATGAGCCTTATATTGAGGCTACA